CCAGGGAGGCGTCCAGGAGGCATCCTAACCAGATGAACCACCTCAACTGGCTCCTCTCGACGTGGAGGAGCAGCGACTCTACTCTGAGTCCCTCCTGAATGACCGAACTTCTCACCRTAAAGGCTCCAGCATGCTGCAGCCGAACTGTCGAAGTTTCGTGACGAAAATTGCGAAATTCTGTTCGCGTTGTCGACATTTTGGCACTTCTTGTCGCAACCCGCGGGTGGAGCTTTTCACCCCACTCCACATAAGAACACATACGAACCTTATTGTGTGATTGGTCAGAGGTTCGTAGAGTATTTGTTTGTGGTGAAAGCACTCAGACGTTGTGTTTTGCTTCAACCACTCGCTTCAAAAAAAGAAAGAAGAAAAATAAAATGGCGACTCGCTTCCAGAGCCGACTGTTARCATGAACCGATTAGTCAAACGGCTAAAAACTCATAAAAGGGGATGAAACAGACGTTTTTCACCTCTACAGAAAAAAAATATTGGCTGTTATTTCACTTTTACTAATATAACAAATAGTTGTTGTTCAGTAGAACATGAACTTATTTTTGCAAAGTATTTAAAACAGTATTTACCAAGAAAAAACATGTAAATAATAGAATGTCACATTAATAAAGTTACCCTTTGTAAAACTGAAGTTTTAGAAATGAATTTCACATTAAAAATGCCACAAAGAAACATAAACCTACAAACAGCAACAATTTGTGCACACTTTGAATAGGATCCAAGCTCATTATTTACTTTTGTTATGGAAGGAACCCCCACCCCCCTCCTGTTTACAGAGCTTTATCAAAGAACAGACAACAACACTTTCATTTTTTCTGAAAGAATATCTGATCCTGCACACAACATGTTGGATAAACAGGGGTAGACAGAAGGATATTTTTCAGGTTGTCCGCTGGACAACCAAAATGAAAAATATCCTTACGTCTACCAAAATGTTTTGCGGACAACCAGGTTTTGTCGACAACCTGTTGACAAAACCTGGTTGTCCGCAAAACGTTTTGGTTGTCTAAAGGAATCTCAAGAAAAATGTAATTTAACAAGTATATTGTGCTGTAGATGAAATTTATTATATATAATTGTTCTCAGGTTGACAGGAGCTGCATGAATAAAACTTCCTCATTCTCTTCTTTGAACTAGAGTTCAACATTCATAAGCGTCTTTCTGCTCATAGGTCAAACATTTTCACTTAAATAGGAGTATACTGTGTACATGACCTTATTAAAAGTTACAGTTTAGTGTTTTGTTTGGTTTTAACCAAGTTTTTTCTCCCTTTCATTTTTACAAATGGACACCCGCAGCAGAGAACTTTAATCGAGGTCTTTTTTGCTTGGTTGTCCACCGGACAACCTAAACAATGGTTATGTCTACCCCTGGATAAACTCCCAGCTTCTTCAGGAGTTTGCAGCATTTCTCAGCTGCTGTTTGTGATGAAACTCAGACAGGAAGTGGTCTTSASGTCTCGTCCAGCCCYTCGTGTGCCGATAAAACTTACAGAAAAGTTCTTCTCCAGATGAATGAAGAACTGCTGGGACATTGTTCRGTCCTAAACGTTACCCTGAGACTGCTTCATATTTTTGGAGGACGCTTTTGTTTTAGCAAGACGCACATCACAGCTCACTTTCCCCCTCCCCCTCTCTGTGTTGGGAGGGGAGCTCAGAGCTCATCCTGCCTGCCTGTTAGCAGGTAACAGCAGGTACAGGAAGCGACAGCGGCCAAAATACCTCAGAAACTCGGCCAAAGAAGCAAACGCTGTAAGATTCAGCGTTTTATACTGGCTTACATTTGGTTTAGTTAATTCTGAGATTCCATCTGTGTTTCATTAACAACTTATAAACAGAAGTGGAGCAGGAGGAGGTGGATTCTGATTGGCTGTTGTCGCGCACATTTCCACCATGTTTGAACGAGGACGAGGCTCACAGTTGATCACCGTGATCGACCTGATTTTTTTCACGATCAATAATCGCGATCAACTAATCGCCCAGCCCTAGTATGAAGTCCTTTTTACGTATATCCTAGTTGACATGAATCTATGGAGCTTAAGGAAAACATTTATAAAGTTCTCTAAACAMAATTTCCTTCTCTACTAATTTGTAAACAAATAATTTGAACTCAATTTCTTCTGTGTTTTGCAGAGATCATGGGCAGCTGTTGACATCGGACTTTGCCTTTAAATTGAAAGTATATCAGAGTTGTTGAAGTCACAGTGTGGCGCAGTGACGGGCCCAACATGGCCGCCCATCGGATCAGAGCCACCACCACCAACAACACTTCTCTACCTCGKTGCAAATCAGAGGGGACGCTCATTGACCTCAGCGAAGGAGTGTCAGAAGCCACCCTCACAGATGTCAAAGGTCAGTGTTCAACAAGAAAACAAGTTTAAAACCAAAGTTTAAAAAACTAGTTGATAACTATTACTGATGAACTATATCAACAAACGTACCTGGAAAGACACGGCATGAGTTTTTTTTTTCTGTTCTTCGTTTCTTTTTCTTTAATCTAAACTGTTGGCTCAAGAAAAAATCTTAGTAACTTAATGTCTTTTTATTTTGCAATCATTTTAGGCATTTAAAGTCTAAACTTCTCTTGTTCGATGCAGGTCCATACAAATATATTACATATAAATGTATTAACAGTAGTAGTAGTAGTAACACTACTAATTTGTAATTCGTGAGATACAAGCTACGCTTTGTTACAGGATGAGACCGATCATTTAGTCCATCCTGTCAGAAACAACATATTGGAAGTTAACACAGTTTCCTATTTCTTGCCTGTGCTGCAGCAAATTAAATGGATGTTTGGGCTTTACTGCAGTGATTCCCAACCAGGGGTACACGAGCATATCACAGAGGGTATGTGGAAAAATTTCCCAGGTGTGTAAAAAAATAAATAAAAATAGGACTGAGATATGTACTGTAGGTCCCTATGATTGCCAAAATAAGGAAAATGCAAACGGAATCATGAAATTGACACAAAATCCTGTATAAAATGTGAAATCTCACAGATTTGCTCATTTGGGGTATTTGATGGATTTTGGACAATACATTGTAATTTGGARGCTGCTGCTTCCTGCACTTGCCATTACCTGGTTTATTTATTTAATTACTTATTCACGGATCTTRCRGTGRGGGTGCCRCTMGGGGCTCTGCGCTCYGGATRCCTCTCGGGTCCTTGGGCTCTGGTCTCCCCTATGTCTGCCTCATGTCTTGGGGGTTGGGTCTCCGGTCCCTCCACAGTCACTATTAAATATTCCATTGGAGAAAACTTGTATATACACGCATGTTCACAACTGCTCACAAACAGGTGTTCTGATCCGGGAGACTGATCTGACTGGTCACTGAGTTTGTAAATATGTCTGTGTGAATATATCTACAATTTGCATGAATGTATGTATGCATGTATGTATGTATATATCTACA